GGGTTGAGCCACAACCCTAACTAAAGATATAGCTACTCATAAAAAATGAAGAAATACAAGAAGAAATTAAGGTAGAATGCATAATTATAGATTAAATAAAAAAAACTAATGTTAAGAAGTCAATCTAATATAAATTTACTCAAAGAAGTAAAGAAAAACGTTTAGGTGCACCTATGCAAACTAGAACTTAACCTAAAAATGATAAAATATTGTATTTATACTAACCTGAAAATATCTGACAAAAATGCCCATACTGAGGTTATGCGGCCGCATAATTCTGATGCGGACCGCAAAATGGACTTATGTTTTTCNAAGAAGTAAAGAAAAACGTTTAGGTGCACCTCTGCAAACTAGAACTTAACCTAAAAATGATAAAATATTGTATTTATACTAACCTGAAAATATCTAACAAAAATGCCCATACTGAGGTTATGCGGCCACATAATTCTGATGCGGACCGCAAAATGGACTTATGTGTTCGCATAATTCTGGTGCGATCCGCACACTTGGGAACTTCGGACTGGAACTTGAGGCCTTCTGTGGTCCGCATAAAAATTGTTGCGGACGCACATAGGATTTTGCGACCACACAAAAGTAATGCGGTCCGCACTCTTCATCTTTTGGACTTTGATCAACTCTCTGATTCTTCAATCTTGCGGACCGCATAATAATGATTGCGGCCGCACTTGATCTCCGACGATCGCATATTTTTGATGCGGTCTGCACTGTCTGAGCTGTCTAAAACCCCTTTCTCTGAATCTCATTCTGCGGCGCACTAGAATAGTGCGGTCCGCACTGCTAGCCTCATTGACCAATTTTGGCGCTTGTTCACTTTTGACTCCTTTATGAGTTGATTTTTCCTTCTTTGGCTCGTTTCCCAATATTCCTACAAGTAAACATATTTCGTTAGTTTCAGGAAATACCTTTAAGCATTTTTGAGCTAAAACGCAAATAAAAGAGAGCAATTAAGCAGTCAAAATCCCTACTTAGTATCACATATGTATCATATTTGTATCAATTGTGTATCACATGTATATCCATGTATACCTACATGCGTGATACATGTTTGATACGTGTATCACTGAAGAATTTTTTGAACTTGATTTAATTACGAATTTTGATACAAAACCAGTCCAAATCACTCCAATCTTCCTCAAATTTTGTATATTACTTATCTATATGTTTTCAATGAATTTCAACTATACCCATTGAAAAAGTTTCTTTTTTTCTTAGATTTTTGGAATATTATATTTTTTATTTTGTATTTCATCACTTTATTTGCTACTTCATTCATGATATTTCCTTTCCGTCTTGCATCTAATGTTGTTAATCATGCTTGAAAATATGAAAGGTAATTTTTGCATGTGATTCTTCGATAGAGAACCTTATTTATTTAATTTTTCAATTTTTATATGTATTTGGCTAATTTTGGTATGTCTATAACCTATGGCTAGAGGTTGGTAAGTTGAAACTTATTTAGGATATTTGTGTAAGTTTCCCTAACATAAAACCGTATGCAGTTTGACATACTGAAAAGAATTGTTTTTTTTTTGTACTATCTGATCAGTCAGCAGAGGCCCAAATATCAACATTATGCTTGAACATCTGCAAATAAGAAAGTTATTAACTTTGGTGTAAAAATAGCATGGGCTAGCCAGCTTTCAGATTTGTCATTCAAAAATAGTCAGCGTTTGCAAAGTTATTGAAAAATAGCCACTATTTTGTTGCAACACGGAAAATTTCAGCATAATATACTGGAGATCAGTGCACATGTGTATGAACTTCCAGCATATTATGATGGAACTCCAACACGCGAAAAGTTCCAATATAATATACTGGAGATTGGATCACCGGTGCTCCAATCTCCAGTATATTATGCTGGACCGGTATATTTTACTGGAACTCCAGTATATTATACTGGAGTATTTTTTCGAATTTTGAACAGTGTTTTCGTTCAGATTTATCTTTACATGAAAAGTTGCTAAATTTCGATCACTTTTAAAACTGTGGTTATTTTTAAATGACCACTTGTAAATATGGCTATTTTTGAATTTCAATATATTCAAAGAAAAAATGCTAAAGTTTAATTTCCTAATTTAAGTACTCAAGTCAAGTGAAAATGAAAATAAAATAATCAAGAAATACTAAGTATTACTGATGGAGTTTAATTCGCAAGTTCAAGTCAACAAACCATAATATACTAAGTGAGAAAGATAGTAAATTGGTGGGGGTGAAAAGGACAGTAAATTTACCACCTAATTCTTTGTTACTCAGCATTTTAAGCCAATGGTCAAAAAATTTCAGAGCAACCGTAGATTGATAACTTGTTTAACATTACATAAGGATTATGAAATGAAGTTGTCGGGTTACATATTATGCTAGAACAAGTGGCTGAATTGGACTTCCGAACTAATGTCAAATATGTGAGCCCATAATTGTTGTTAGGTCGTCCACAAGCCCAACTCCATCTCGTTGGAGCTTCTTATCCCAATAGTCTTGTGGTTTGCAGGCCCCAAAGTATTTTAATCTCATGCAGCTAGTCCTTTCCTTTCAAAGAAGGAAGTTTTAAACTGGTCCAAAGTAAACGATAAAATGGCACCAGGTGACAACACATAACCGGAATTGGCAAATTTTTAGTCTTATATTATGTTTGGGAAAGATAGCCCCAAAAAATTGGCATTATATAGTCAAATTCTAAAAAAAACTACTCTCTTATATATTCTCTCTCAAATAATTGACCCCAAATCGTCTGTCCCCCACCCCCACTCCGCCACTCACTTCTCTTCTTGTTCCCTATTTCCCTCTCCCTTTCTCTCCTTGTATTTATTCTCCTATCGCTTCTCTTTCGCTATCATAGTTTAGCAAAAATTCTTGCAAATTATGCAAAAAAAAAATAGTGGGATGAAAAGGTAAGTCGATCTCACATCAGAGAAAATCAGAAGCAAAAACTAAGAGAGAAAAAAATACATTTCAATTTTGTTTTTCTTCTCTCTTCTTTTTTTTGGTTGGATTGAATGAGTGTGTGCGATTGAAATTGGTTGAAAATACCTAAACGAGGATATATACAAATTTGAGCAAGATTAGAAGTGATTTAGACTGATTTTAGGTTTTAAAAAATCGGACTAAAAATCCAACTTCGTATATCGTGTATGTCACATTGTATATCATATATATCACAAACAGGTTTTTAAGGACATCTATATCACTTTGTATATCGTGTATACAACATAAATTTTTTATGGACGCCCGTGTATATCACATTGTATTTCGTATATATAATACAAATTTTCATGGATATGCACAGATACACATGAGATATCACCGATGTACATAGAGATATACATGGGATACGATGGGGGATACACGTGTGGAGTCGTCTTGAACTTGAGTTTTCAATCTGAAATGTGTTATACAAAGAAGGAAAATAAAATTTTAATATACTTTTTAATATAAACATTATTATTATGTTATACACGATGATATACAAATAATATATTTATTGTCGTGTTATATATATTTAAATATACAGATAAAAAACAAGAAAAAATATTATAAAAATATTTGGAAATTTTTTCGGACACTACTGAAGGAAATGGAACCTAATTTCTAGGATGATGGTTGCTATGAGAGAAGAGAGATAGGATTTTAAATAATTTTGCTGGGGCTTATTTTTAGGATGGTAGTTGAACCATTAGATGAAAGAGAATAACTTTAGGCTACCATATGCCAAATCCTAAAACGTTGGCTTTTTTATGCCAATTATTGTACCTAGTTGTCATACCATGCCAAACAAAGTAAACCCCCTCAGTTTTTGGGTTCTCGATCTATCCTATGTTTTTCACAAAAGTCTTAGATATTCATGTTTCTGAATTGGCCCAAAATAAACTACATTCATTTTTACCTTTTCAAGTCGGTACTAAATGGGAGCTTTGCATATATACTCAGCTTTAGATTTATTATCGAATTTATATCTGTATTACATAAAAATTTATAATATTATCCGCTTTAAGATCAGATTTAGATTTAACAGGCTCGACATTGAAAAATTCATTTACGAAGTTGCAAACTAAAGATGCATTTAAAAATATTTTAGTCTAAAGTGCAGCTAATATTTACATGCACTTAAGACTTTTTTACTCTTAAGTACAGAAATTGCACTTAAAAAGCACTTAAGACTTAATTGGTCTGAAGTGCAATTAATTTTTCATACACTTAAGACTTTTATTATGAAGTGCAAATTACTCGTAAACATAAACTTGTTATCGAATTTCAACAATTCAATACACAGTTCAATACCCAAATCTACTCTAAATGTGCTTAGGTTTGAAACGTAACATTCAAATATCATGAAGAATAAACTTCAATTATCAATTATCAAAATTACAACATGTCTAACAAAACCGTTTTGCAACTAATAATAATAAGAAGAAAAAGCCCTAAGCAGTAGCAAAGTAAGGAGCGTCATATCACTTCACTACTGTAAAACACCAAAATCGATTTAAAATATGCTACAAATGCCATGTTAATCCATTTCCTCCTTTATTTTCATAGCAACTAAGAAGAAGAAGAAGAAGAAGAAAAAGGAGGAGAAAAAAATTCTGAAATTGTTTATACTTTCAAAATTAATTTTACTTTTTAAAAAAATGAGTATAGGAGAATGACCATAAAGATCGTCCCATGAAATTTGTACCTTCTAAATATTGCATTTGCCCTTCCAAAGGCCTCACTTTATAATAGTGAAATTGGCCATAAGCGGTTGCAATATAATGCAACTTAATTTTTTTGTTTGTAATTAATTAGGCTTCTATTAATCACCAAAGCAATTACAAATTATTAGTTTAGCACAACTCATCTAGCTAATTTCAAAAAGAAGAAACATAATTAGAGATCCCATATTTCCTTTACAACATTGCTATGTGTAGTTTAAGTAGAAACTTAGAAAACTAGTTTTTGCATTAAGTATTTCATTTCCCCAGCAGCCCTGCAGCTACAGACACATGCTATCTCTTGTGCCACTCCTTTACAATCTTTGGCCACCCCTTCAAATACTTCCTCTCATTCCATATGGCATATATAACTTCAGCATATATCATGTTAGTGAGTTTGGCCTTTGTTGTCTTCCCTTGTATACTTATAATAATCTCTTGGAATTGTAGTTCCCAGTTGTTGCCACCATAGAGTTGTTGTTGCGCCCACTTGCTGACTTTGTTCCAAATTGCGTTAGCATATCTACATTCAGCAAATAAATGGTTTCTTGATTCATTATGAGCTTGACACATTGCACATACAGCTTGTACATTAAGGCCCCATCTCAGCAATATATCCATTGTTAGAAGTCTGTCCTGGCATTTCAGCCACATTGTGAATAAGGCTTTTGGTCTTGCAAAGTTCTAGAACATTAGTTTTCTCCACCTTCCCTTTGGGTATTCTGGTATCAGTTATAAGTATATTTGTTTAATGACACTCTTATGTTCAGAAATGGGTCTGTTCAGCTGCCCAATGGTATCTCTTTCCCCCAGAATTTTCCTAACCATCCAACTAGAGGTTTGTGGAATGGTCATAGTTCCCAAACTCTGCTCCCTGATGTAAAAGGCATGGATCCATTTTATCTAAAATTTATCCTGCTTATGAGTTAAATCCCAGCGTGTTGTTGCAATTGCTGCATTGTTCCATATATGGAGATTATGCAAGTTGAGCCCCCTCCCCCCGTAGCCTTAGGAAGGCAGATCTTCTCCCAAGCAACAAGGACCTTCTTTGTTATTGTATCGCCCCAAACCACAGGTAGCTTCTACATTGGGATTCAACTATTTGTGTCACCTTAGCTGGTAGAGGGGAGAGTTGAGCCCAATAAGATTGGATACCAAATAACACTGTTTGAATCAATTGAATTCTCCCAGCATATGATAGCTTCTTTGCAGACCATGAAGACATTTTAGCCACAATCTTTGCCATGAAGGGTTGCCACTGAACCATGGTGAGCTTCTTAGTGTTTAGAAGTACCTCTAGATATTTAAAAGGAAGTTTCCCTAGTGAGTAACCTAGCAGTTGAAATAGCCTCTTTCTCCCTCTGTGTCAGTCCTCCACAATAGTCTGCAATTTTGGTTAAGTTAGCTTGCAACCCCGAGGCTGTTGAGAAAGTAGTAAAACATGCATGAAGTCTCTACGTAGATTCACTATCTCCTCAAGCAAACAGCAACAGATCATCAGCGAAGCTTGGGCGAGTGATCCCCAGCCTTCTACAACTTGGATGAATTTATAGCTTTTCTCATGTTGTAGGTCTTTAAACAGTCGACTCAACTACTCCATGGCAATGGCAAAGAGAAAATGAGGTATATGATCTCCTTGTCTCAGGCCTTTGGCTGCATTAAATGGTGCAACTGATTCTCCATTGAGTAGAATAGAGTAATTAACTGTTTTGATACATTTCATTACCCAATGAACTTCTCTGGGAACTTCAGTCCTTCCATAACTTGCTCTAGGTAGATCCACTCCAATAAGTCATAAGCTTTTTGTAGATCTACCTTTATCATACATCTAGGGGAGATATGCTTCCTACCATCAGATTTGATAAGTTCATGTGCCAGAATGATGTTGTCTGCTATCTTCCTTCCTGGAATAAACCCTGCATGAGCCTCTGAGATGATGTAGGCCATTACTTTCTGTAATCTGCTGGTGATGACCTTAGCAATAATCTTGTATAGCACTGTACAGCAAGAATAGAACTATAGTCTTTAACTGTATCTGGATTTGGAACCTTAGGCACCAGAGTAAGTGCAGTGCAGTTTATAGCTTTATACAAGGTTCCTGTGATGAAAAAATCTTGCACAGTTTCACAAACTTCATTCTTAATAATGGACAGTGTTTGCTTGAAAAAGACAACATTAAATCCATCAATTCCTGGAGCCTTATCATCTCCAATTGAGCTCAGTCCTTCATTGATTTCCTCTTCTGTAATTGGTGCACAAAGCTCTAGCTGCTAAGTATGTGATAAGCAAGGGCCATTTCTCATTACCAATCTATTCACTATTGGTAGTTTCGATGCTGCAGTACCCATCAAGGATTTGTAAAAGCTGAGAAATTATTTTTTGATAGCTTCAGGATCCAGAAGGTTGACCCCCAACAATGATTTGATCTCAGTTATTTGCTTCTTCTGTTGCTTCTCTTTCATTACAGCTGAAAAGTACTTAGTATTTGAATCCCCTTGTTTGATCCAAGTGACTTTTGACTTCTGCTGTAGTGCACTTTCCTCTATCAAAGACCACTTCTCTAGTTGAATCAGATAGTTTTTCTCCTGATCAGCTAATACATCAGAGTAAGCATCCCCCAGTTCTTGGTTCTCCATATATTGCAGTCAAGTGCCTATATTGAATTATTCATTCATCATTGGCAATTGCCCTATCAATCCTGATACACACTCTATCATTCCCTCTATGTTTGTTTGTCCAAGTGTAGTATTCCCCTTTCCAAGAAATCTCATTTAGCAGCAGAGTGTTGCAACATTTAGAGAAATCTTTTAACTCAACTAATGATATAGTTGTTCTAGATAACCTGTCACTAGGGTGTAGGATTGCATTAAAGTCCCTACTAATTAGCCAAAGTTTATTGATTATAGATGCTATTGCTTTCAGTTGGTCCCATAATGTTTTCCTTTCTTCCACTTTATTAAAGCTATATACTACTGTGAGTATACAATCTATTCCATTCTGCCTTCCTGTCACCATACAATGAATAAATTGACTTGTACTAGCTAGATGATGTATGTTATAGGCTTTAGCATCCCACACTACCCATATTCTTCCATTCCTTGTTTCTCTGTTATAGCTTATTCTCTCCCAACCAGGAACAATCTTGTTGTCAATCAGTGGTGCTTTGTTTTCTTTCACTCTATTTTCTAGGATTCCAGCTATTTTTATGTTATTTTCTTTGAGATACTGCTTTTGTTCCTTCTGCTTGCACCTCTTATTTATTCCTCTCCAGATAATCCAAGTCATTGGGCATGTTGTTTCCCCCCCTCCTGTATCAGGGAGTTTCTGGCCTTCTCCTCTATGTCCTCCTTCATGTAGTACCTGGAATCCATTATTTTTTGAAACAGCTATATCTAGGCTTGGCCAAATTAAGTTGTTTGTTTGATGTTCTAGACTTTTACTCCCACTTGTTGTTGGTTTATGTAACGACACGACCGATCGTTTTGAGAGTTATAGCTCTGATCCCCTATTAAGTGCTTCCCCCATATCTATTTCTGCTATTGTAACTTGCCGGGAGATTTTGTTTTGGTTTTTGGAGTGTTTTGGGACACTTAGTCGCTAAACGGAGGCTTAATCTTAGAATTTAGATCGTAGTCGGAACTATGTAAAGACGACTCCGGAATAGAGTTCCATTAGCTACGTCGGGTGATTTTAGGCTTAGGGGCGTATTCGGATTATGTTTTGGAGGTCCGTAACTTATTTAGGCTTGAAGTGGCGAAAGTCAAATTTTTGAAGTTTTGGACCGGTAGTGGAATTTTTGATATCGGGGTCGAAATCCGATTCCGGAAGTTAGAGTAGGTCCATAATGTTGATTATGACTCTTGTGCAAAATTTAGGATCAATCAGACGTGGTTTGATTGATAGGTTTTGGCATCGGTTGTGGAAATTTGAAGTTTCAAGTTCTTTAAGTTTGAATTGGAGGGTGATTCGTAATTTTAGCATTGTTTGATGTGAGTTGAGGGCTCGACTAAGTTTGTAAGGTGTTTTAGGATTGGTTGGTATATTTGGTTGAGGTCCCGGGGGCATCAGATGAGTTTTGGGTGCTTAACGGGTCATTTTTGGGCTTTGGGAGTTGGTAGATTTTTTGGTGTTTTGTTGCACACAATTCCTTCAATGCGTTCGCGAGAGGAAACTCGCGTTCGCAAAGTGGAATTTATGGCAAGTGAGATTTTGTGCTTCGTTGTCGCGAAGGAGGTCCCCCATTCGCGAAGCACTAAAGAAGTTGGCATACACGTTCGTGATATAGGTCCCGCGTTCGCGCAGAAGAAATGGCCAGCTGGGTCCCCTGGCCCTTATGCCTACGCGTTCGCGATGTTGGTCCTGCGTTCGCATAGAGTTGAGTTGATAGACCTTTGCGTTCGCGACAAGGGCATCATGTTCGCGATGACAAATTTCTGGGCCAAAGCGAGCTGTGTTTCGCGAACGCGATGGGCCTTCCGCGTTTTTTGAAGAAGGATTCACTGGGCAGTATTAAACATTTCAAAAAACGAGGGTTTGGCAATTTTGATCAAAATTTGAGTTTGGGAGCTCGGATTTGGACGAGAATTTAAGGGATTTTCATAGATACCAATTGGATAATGATTTTGGTTATATCCCGCTAATTTATCATTAATTTTATCATTTAATTTTGGATTTAGGGTGAAAAATTGGGGAAAATTGAGAAAAGTTCTTAGACCGATTTTTGGGGTTTTGATCGACATTTTGGTATCGGATTTGAGTAATTTTGGTATGGTTAGACTCGTGAGTGAATGAATATTTGTATTATGTGACTTTTACCCGATTTCGAGACGTGGGCCCTAGTAGTTTTTTTGGGCGATTTTCCAATTTCTTGTCTTAGCTTTGATTTCATTAGATAGATTAGTTTCTTGTAGTTATATTTATATTATGTAATTGGTTTTGGCTAGATTTGGGCCATTCAGAGTCGGATATTCGTGGAAAAAGCATTGTGACAAATTCATTTGAGCTTGGTTCGAGGTAAGTGGCTTGTCTAACTTTGTGTGGGGGAACTCCCCTTAGGATTTGGTACTGTTTTGATATGTGAGCGTCGTGTAAATGAGGTGACGAGTGCGTACACGGGCTATTTGTTGTAAAACTCCGTTTTCACTAAGTCATAACGTGTTTCTCCTTATTTAAACTACACTAGCATATGTAATTATCCTGCTTAGTTTAGAATAGCATGCCTACGTGTTTTAACTGCCTATTTGAACTTTGTGCAACATGTTTACTGAAATTTCCTGATTTTCTTGACTTGAACTTAGTCTAAACTGTAGGTTTTCTTGTTGTAACTGTTATTTCTGTTGGTTGAGCTGCATATTTACTTTGGGACTACGGAACGGTATTCCGGGAGATATTTCTATACTGCATATTTACTTTGGGACTACGGAATAGTATTCCGGGAGGTCCCCTACACATTTACGTTTGGGACTATGAGACGGTATCTCGGGAGATCCCCTGTTGTTATCTCTGT